TGTTACGCAGCTGCAGACCGTCGACTCCCTCTGTGATCCGCGATCCACTCCAGGGACAGCCACTCCCTAAAGGCCACCTCTGGACACACTGCTGCCCACACAGGCTGTGATGACCATGTGACCTCGAGGTGACAGTCACCCTTGGCCTTGGCATGACTCTTCCCCTGACTTGGTACTACAGGTGCCCACGCCCTTGTTGATGGGCAGACCCGGCCACCGGTGATTACACGCCTCACACGTCTCGGCGGCCCTCTAGGGTGGCTGCCGCTAATGTGTCTGGGGTCCTGGCTGCAGTCCCCTGCCAGGGGACCCACAGCTCTGTCAGGACCTTCTCCAGAACCAGGGAGCCCACTGGGACCCCAGGCAGCCAGTCCTATCTCAGGACAGCTCTGCCTGTCAAAGGCTCCTCCTCAGATTACGGAACTTGTGTCTCAGGAGTATTTTTTCTCTGGTCCTACTGTGGTCATGCTAAGTACATCCGTCCCTCTCCCTCCAAGCTCAGGCCCTGCTGTTGGGTCTCCACCTCTGCCATTCTGATCTCTTTCTTCTGAACCAGCCAAGGGCTGAACCCATACTCCCCATGGCCCCTGTGCAGGTGACTCAGTGGGATTTCACCTTCCTCATTGTAGATGCTCTACTCTTATTGATGCAGCCAATAGCTGGCAGCTATTTGGGCAGTGGTCATATACTGAGCTCCCTACCAATACCACCAAGAAATATCTTCCCCTTATGGTTTCTGGTTTCTAAAAGACCGTTTCTGATACTTCTCTGTTCCCTGAAGTTCCTGGAAAGTAGACTTGGCTTCCTGATCATTGTCTGAAATCCAGTCCCAGCCATAGGTATCTCTGCTGTCATTGAGGCCACTTGGCCTCTTCTCTGACCTCACTGCTGGGAGCTGTCCCAAGGCCTCATGGGCATCCTGGGTCTGGAGAGAGCCCTGCTCAGGAGCCCAGCTCCCTGGGAATCCTGGGTAAGTCTCCCTCCCTCTCTGGAAGGGAGATCTCTTCATCTATAAAACAGAGAGGTCCAACTTCATACGGCACTCTGTCACAACCAGAGAAAGGGCCCTGGTGCCATTTCTCGGGTTTTGTTCTGACATCCCAACGTGGCCTGCACTCGTTTGCATGGTATTTATTCACTTGGTGCTGGGGTTTAAACGAGGCTCTCCTGACACTAAGCACCCAGCACCACCGGGCAGTGCCCGGCCTCGGGACAGCCCCTGCGAGCCGCAGGAGAGCCTGTGTTCCTGGCTGCAGGGGGGCCTAGTGCACGCCTCCAACTCCCCACCCTCGTGGCTTCCATCCCTTGGCTCGTTCCGTCTTTCCCAGCCGGTGTGGCAGTCCGTTACTCACTTCATCTCCATAAGATCCCACTGTGGGGTGGCTGCGGGGCCCTGTGGACCGACCGCACATGGCGGTGGACAGTGTGCCTTTCCCAGTAGGCAGGAAGGACCTGCAGGTGTGCAGAGGCCAGAGAGCAAGCAGCAGCTCAGCCAG